CTCGCACAATGGACTGAATAGATCGGTATATCTTGAAGAATGTTCTGCAGGTTTTAAGTTTGTATTTCCCCACAGTCAGGATTTTAAACCTCCAGAGTTTTGTTCTGTCACGCTGAACCGTTTTTAGAGTCAACACTACATTTCACACATTTATCTTTGAATAATGGAGGCATGTGTGGAGTGAGAGGACAAATGCCCACAACAACTGTTAAGCGCTTTGTGATTCTTGTTTGGGAAAGGCGCTATATGAATAAAGATAACTTACTTACTGTACTTCGTTACAGTGTTGGTAAAAGACTTTGAAAATGTATTCAGTTCCAGAAGACTGAATACATGACCTAAAATGTATTTGTGTAGTATTCTGTTACCTGTATTATGAATACATAGAATACTTTTATTAATACTTTCAATTATGAATATTTATTGAAAATGAACGTTTATTAATACATGTCTAAATAAATAAAACACGTTCTTGTTGAATCTTCACTATACCCTTTTCTTTTTTGTGTGAAAAGTATGTATTCCCGTGATTTTCAGAATGTAACTGTATTCTATATACTAGACTAATGGAATACAGTTACTCAGAAGATTATTCTGAGCACAAATGCGTTTGTTCTATATGAATCTATTTTAATAACTGGATAGGGTATTACTAGCTTGGAGCTGAAGAACCCATGAGCTCGGGGGATTCTCGCGGTACTGCAGACTGAACCAGACAAAATTCATGCGGGCTACCCAGAAATTTTCCACATAGAACTCAATGTAAATTAAAACAGCTCGACCTCAGCTGACAGAGAACCTACAGCTTTAATAAAGGTCGGATTTTGTGGGGATTTTATTGCCCCTTGTCATCCTGAACTTTTTTTCTTCTTAAATCCGTCAGGTTTCTTTAAATCTTCACTTTAATGCCACAAACTCTGCCTGTCTGGCTCCCGCTCTATCTCCCGCTCTGATGAGCAGTTCTGATTGGTCAGAGCGCGGCCGAGCCCCTCTGTGCACGTGCGTGACAGCCACACACGCATGTTTTGCGCAACGCATCATGGGAGATAATCCATTGCGCAGAACCGGGAGGACCAGACGATGCCCAAATACAGGCGAGTTTCCCATGGATCTTTGCGAGTTCCAGGCGAGTTCCGCTAATATGTCAGCGACCGTACCAGCGCAAATCGCCACTGAGCACAAACCATTCATTTGAATACGGAGCCATCTTGGATCGCTGGGGCTTGGTTTGTTCACCTTTTCCTGTGGGAGGGGCTGCCAGCGGCCATTTTGAAAAAGCGCCATAGAAGGCATAAGTTATAGCACATTAGTTTCAAAAGTGGAGATAGGCTTGACTACACACGTTAATGAAGCCTAAGCGCAAATTCAGAGTGGAAGACCTGAGAACTCAGCGCTGAGCGCTCCCAAACAGAAGCGCTCAGTTCTACTACTGTTGCCCACAGCAACAGCAACCAGTCAATCACACTCAGCTGCAGTGCCTCACGCAAATCCTCACCTGCAGCAATCAGGCACTGCCCTTATCAAGCATCGTATCGTGAGGAAGCTCCATCCAAGCAGCAGCTTCATTCATGCCGCAACCCTCCTCCTCCCCGTCTCCGCCTTGCTCTAGGCCAGCTCCTTCATCCTTCTCCTAGCTCCCACCACCAGGGTCTAGGCCCCGGGGGATTTCATCTCATAATCTCTTTCCCCTTCTGCAATCGTGCAGTGCTCTGCTGGGTCTAAGCGCCAAATCCCAACCACATTCTGTTCAGCACAATAAATTTAATCTTGAAAATATTGTCTTTAGTGTCATATGTGTGATTCATGCAGTGTCAGAGTATCTGTCAATCAACATACAATTCTAATACTATGTTTTGCCTGTTCGAGTCTCTCCAGAGTCTCTCCAAGTCTATGATTTTAGCAGAAAAAAGCCCTCCTTCCATTATAAAAGTAGTAATAATGTTGTGTGCCTCCTGTAAAAAACTGCATGTGTCTCTGTGTCACATTAACCTCATGAGTTTGTATTTCTCAGCAGCAGCGGGGCCTGTCTGTGCTCTCTGCCCGTCCAAGCAGCCTCAGGTCATTTCACTGCCAACAGTGCCGCAGATATGCACCAGCAGCATTTCTGTACATTGCAGAATCACTCTCAGAAATATCCCTGCGTATAACATAAATCTGACAGACAGGCAGTACTTTTAACCCTGGCAAGTTAGTTTGTTGAATGTGGTCAAAAAGTGGCAGATGGTTGCAGAAAATTTAAGTAATAAACATTACTTACTTACTTACTGATTTCAAATCTCTAAGCTATTTGTCTATCAGTTCAAGTTTGCATATACAAAGTAGTATAGCTGAAACATGTGGATAAGAGTCCAGTTGTGATATCATATTTGTAATCCTTACGCTAAATCAGTCAGTGAAAAATTAGGATGAAAGGAGTGAGGAATATCTCTGGACTGAAATAAGTAAACGTTTACAATAAATTAAAAAAGTAAATGGTTCTAAATCCATATTTCACAATGATTTGTTTGATGATCATTTGGCATTGGCCAGTACGGGGGAAACTCATTATTCCCACCAGAACTTGGAATTAGCATGTGGTCTAGAAAAGTCCTACGCCTTCTCCCACTCCTCCTCTGACGCACACTTAAACCTGGAAGAGCCTAAAAGCATCAAAAGGGCAGCGGCCATAGATGTATGTATTTATTTATTTGCTCATGTAACAAACATGAACAGAGGGAAAACACAAAGTCTTATAGATCCTGTCCCTTGTTTTGCTGGCTGCAAAGACATTTTAACATTTTCACCCGCATCAGTCACCCAACCCCAACTTCACCTGTCACAAATAACAACTTACTGCACACTTAAATATTTTCATTTTCTTCATATTCAGTCATCTTTTTGTGATTATATTTTTTTATGTGGAAGATATTAGGAGCACATTTCAGTGAGTCAGTGAATTCTTTAAATTGTCTGGATTATATAAACAAGGTGTTAATGTGTTCTCTGAAGCCCTTTTTGTTTAGTAATTCTAATAGCTTTTAAAAAAAAGAGAAACAGATGTTTTTATAGAGACTTCGGCACAAGATTTCAGGTATGGCAAAATGTGTATATTGATTGTGTAGCATGGAGTATAATTGTGACTGTATGATTAGACGCTGCAGACAGACAGGACACCATGACACACTGTATACAATACTGTATAATGTGGCATTTGATGTGGCCTTCATTTACCAGGTGTTCAGGAAAATTGAGATATGGTTTGGTGCTTTGACCCAGGCAGAAATGGTACGACATATGTCGGTGCGAACTGAAGAGATTATACATGTGAAATACTTCTAACCCTGGAGGTAGTGGAGGCTGAATGACAAACTGAGATGAAGGTGGAGCTGGTGATGGCGAGGAGGCAGGTTGATTGTCATTGATATACAACATGTCATGATTATATGTAGAATTTCATCAATTCATTAATGTTGATACATTGTGTACATGAGTATGTACACAATGTATCATACATGAGTATGGTACATGAGTGTGTTCTTGTATCGGCGTGAGCTGTTTTTAAAATCCACAACAGGAAGAGGACACTATTAGAAAAGGTACAGGTGTGCAGATGTGCAAATTTGCATGTGTGCCAGCTGAGCTACAAAGGTGTAGAAATGGGAGGATTGAAGTGAAAGTGTGGGATAGTGAGAAGTATTTCTACAGAACTGAGCTGCAGAGGAGATGCATGTATGAAACTGCCTTCTTGTTACCTTCTCCTAACTTATCTTGTCTACAATTCACATAACCTTTTCTTGCCTTAAATTAAAACAACTGCAATGTTCTGCATTCTAAATGGAAACAAATTCACTATGTGTTGCAGTGGATTTGTAAACTGAAATCATAGACTGTATATATTCACGGACAGAGTCACGCCTATCTCCGCCGTTCTAACTAATGGGCCAAAAAATGTGTTCTACTGGAGCAATCCAAAATGGCCGCGAGTGGTCCCGCCCTCAAGAAAATTGTGAAAAAACGCATCTGCGCATGCGTCAGCCGGCGCAGCTCCATTCATTTGAACGAGAGACTTCAAAAATTCACAGCAAGTAAACTAGAGTGGACCAAAAAAATCCACCCCCCTCAGCATTGACACACATGTGGAACGGAGCTTTGGGCCAAGAGCCAACTTTTGGACCATCCTTTAAAGACGTTTTCGAGAGGTCTGCCAATGCTATATGTTAGCATTGGCTAATTCTACTTCTGGGTCCACCCCCATCGGCCCGGGGTGGTATTGCAAGCATGTCAGCGCACGTCATTTTGGCCACTTTTGAGCTGGGACCCGCCCCCTCTGACTGAAACACATACGTCAATAAACACTTTATTTTTTACATTAAGTCATGACAAAAAAAAAATTGTTCAGGACTTTTAAATGATTGGTTTCTTTATGGATCATTGATGGATTGGATGTCACACACCGTATGTGAAAAGCAAATTGTACCAAACCTTTTTTTATTGATTATGCTCATAAAGGTGTGTAGCCTTGGTATGCCCAGTAGAATCAGAATTACCGGCACTGTGACATTATTTATACAGGTGAACAAGGTATATATATACATATATATAAAAACACAACACCAATAACCCACATACAGTATAAACTTATCCTTTGTAAAATTCCATTAATAAATCCAGCATAAAGAGCTCCACACATACCTGCGTGTATCTTTTGCTCCTGGTTCACTCAGATCAGTGTTTGGGGGGTAAGCTTATGAGCACTGTAATTAGGACACAAATTGGGCTGGGACCTGTTATGCTTATAGTCCCAGAAGGTTCAGGTCAGCTCTTTTTTAGTAGGTCACCTGTCCCTTTCTGCCACCCATTGCAGACAACAAAAGAAATCCAGGCTGCACTTTCATTCTTTCTACTTCAAAGCCCTTACTAATCTGTGGTTGTACTTGTGTAGTACTTGTGTGGTTTAGATTACCATAAACGACACGTGTTCCATACTGCTCCTGCCCACGCACACATTAGGGCTCTAAACCATGGTCCACTCTTCATTTCTCCACACTCCTCATCCCAGGTGCCTCTTTGCTCACCCACACACCACTCCCTCATACTCTCCCCATGTCCCGGAATAGCCCCTCATGGCTGTTTGCAGAGAAAGGACATTTTTGTACAAACCATGCAGGGAACTAGTTAGTCTATATTATTCCCCAGTTCTTATTCAGTTTTAAGGGACCATCCAGTGCCCTTTTGTTGTGTTCAAACTACAAAAATGTCTGAAGGTTTTTCTCAAGATGGCCAAGATGGGAAAAACACTCCCATCTAGTGGTAACTTTCCCTGTAATCTAACTATGTCTCATCTTTCTTATTCAAAAAGAAAGTGCTCTCAGCCCAAAACAGCAAATTTCTGACTCACAGGGCTCTTTCTTGTTCAAAGCAATTCAATTAAATTCGATAATTTTTGTATAGCCCTAGGACTCACACCTGCAGTCGTCTCAAAGGACTGTGCACAGTGAGAAGCCATGGGGACTTTGGGGAGGCCCATATTGAGAGAGGGATCAGCTCTCACGGACAGATATAGACAACTATAGATCCAGGACTTAGGCCATAGAACGAGGATACAGGGAGGGGGTACAGCTGATTCCTCAGTATTGGAGCTTGGTAGCTAAATGCTCTGCCTCTGACTGTGCTTTTTAACACTTTAGGAAACACTAGAAGTCTTGCGTTTTGCGAGCGCAGTGGTCGGTTTGGTTGATATGACACTAAATGGTAAGGAAGCCATACCATTTATTTCCTTGCATCTCGGAAGAAGGATTTTAAATTTGATTCTATACTCCACAGGAAGCCAGTGGAGTACTTTTAACACAGGAGCGATGTGTTCCCTTCTTTTAGTGTGTATTAAGATACTGGAAGTTTTTATAGAGGATTTAGGGCACACTGCCAGCAAGATTTTACAGTAGTCAACCCTGGATGTGACAAATGCATGGATCAATTTTTCCGTATCACTTATAGAAAAGCTTACTCCTGTGTTCACGGACATTTTCAACTCCTCTCTGCAGTCCTGCCATGTCCCGGCCTGCTTCAAATCCTCCATCATTGTCCCCGTCCCGAAGAAGCCCAGGATCACAGGACTCAATGACTACAGACCTGTAGCACTTACGTCTGTCGTCATGAAGTCATTTGAACGCCTGGTTCTCTCCCATCTCAAGTCCCTCACCTCCCCCCTCCTGGACCCCCTGCAGTTCGCCTACAGAGCCAACAGATCTGTAGACGACGCCATTAACCTGGCCCTCCACCACATCCTACAGCACCTGGACTCCCCGGGGACCTACGCCAGGGTCCTGTTCGTGGACTTCAGCTCTGCCTTCAACACAATCCTGCCATCCCTGCTCCAGGACAAGCTCTCCCAGCTCAACGTGCCCGATTCCACCTGCAGGTGGATCACTGACTTCCTGACGGACAGGAAGCAGCGAGTGCGTCTGGGGAAGAATGTCTCGGACTCTCGGATTATAAATACAGGAGCCCCACAGGGCTGTGTTCTTTCTCCCCTGCTCTTCTCCCTGTACACCAACCACTGCACCTCCAGCCACGACTCCGTGAAGCTGATCAAGTTCGCGGACGACACCACCCTCATTGGACTCATCTCCAACAACGATGAGTCCGCCTACAGGAGGGAGGTGGACCGGCTGGTGTCCTGGTGCAGTGGTAACAACCTGGAGCTGAACGCCCAGAAGACAGTGGAGATGATTGTGGACTTCAGGAAGAGCACTGTCCCCCCGCCCCCACCCTCCGTGATGGACTCCCCCATCACCTCTGTGGAGTCCTTCCGTTTCCTGGGCACCACCATCACCCAGGACCTCAAGTGGGAGCCGACCATCAGCTCCCTCATTAAGAAGGCCCAGCAGAGGATGTACTTCCTGCGGCAGCTCAGGAAAGCCAAGCTGCCTGCACAGATGTTGGTGCAGTTCTACACGGCCATCATCGAGTCCATCCTCACCTCCTCCATCACCGTGTGGTTCGCTGGAGCCACAGTCAGGGACAAACAGAGACTACAGCGCATTGTGCGCTCTGCAGAGGAAGTGATCGGCCGCAGCCTTCCATCGCTGCAGGACCTGTACGTCGCCCGAGCTCGAGGCCGGGCTGGTCGTATCACAGCCGACCCCTCTCACCCTGCACATGGACTATTCCAACCACTCCCCTCAGGCAGGAGGCTGCGGTCCATCAGGACTAGAACCTCCCGCCACAAGAACAGTTTCTTCCCCTCTGCTGTTGGACTCTTGAACACTTCTTAACCTGTCCCCCCGCCCTTTATAAAGTCACTTTACTGCCCATCATACGTCACTTTACTTCACTGTACTGCTGTCACCTTACATTGTGTGCACCATGTGCACTTGTATATTGTAAATAGTAACTGTAACTCTATTTTAAATTTAAATTTATTCTTTAGAAGTGTTTTTTATTCTTATTTTTATTATCTCTTTTTGACTGTTGCACTGAGCCAAAGCAATTTCCAAGTCTGTGACCTCCCGTTACTTACGTTGGCAATAAAAATGATTCTGATTCTGATATTCCAAATTTATATGTTTTCTTGGTCAATAGCGACTTTAAGAGTGTCTGTCGATGTGTTTTTTTTTTTTTTGCGGACAGATGTAATTTTACTATAGAAGAATTGAAGGAAGTCAATACGGCAAATAGTATTTAGGTTACCCCACAATTATTGTCAGTATTTTTTTTCTTTTCTTAAATGAATGAAACATAGCTAAGCCAAAATGCTAAGCAAACCCCCTCTTGTCGACACCCACCCATCTCAAACAGTGATTCACTTCTGACTGCACCAGCTCGACTCTGGTGGGTGTAGATGGATTTTGTCGTCTTTGAATCACTCAAATAATTAAAAAATACCATACATGTATTTACATCCTAATTATTAGGAAACTTCTTGGCTTCTGCTTGTCTCGAAAGAAAAAGAAACAAGCTGAATTCTCATAGTATCATATAGGAGCAATGGATTTTATTTTCTGTTGTGTCTGTGTGTATCTTGTAGCTGTTAGTGTCATTGGGTCAGTTGGATATTGGCCTAATACTGAGTCATTTCTAACAGTTTATACACAAAATAAAAGTACTTGTAAAGAAGACATGGAATACACACACATGTAAAATGAAGCTGTGAAATGACTTGGATTCTGTTCTCCTTACCCTCAGGTGGAATATGTTGTGCTAAAGACTGCTGATCTGACTGAAAGTGCCAGTACACGAGCTAAAGATATCCCTGAAGTCTGCCCCCTTCCTCTGAATCAACATCAGCATCACGATATAAAGTAGTAGAACAGAAAAAGGTTCCATCAGTGAAAAACTCAGCTCCAACTGTAATGCCAGAACTCACCCGTCTCATGACTGTGGGTAACAAAGTGTTGGCAGTATTTGCACCAGAAAGACTGAAAGAAGAAATGGATTGTTCTGTCGTGCAAATGTTGTTTAGCACTTAGTGGAGTGATTCATGCAACGCCACATTCAGCCTGCTCTGGTGACAAGCTCGGAGCCTCGGAGACCAACGCTCACTCACTCATGTCTCCCATATGCCCCAGTGCATTTAAGCAGAAAAGTTTTATTATTGTGTGGTTAGACTGGAATATGGTAGTGATAGTGCTACACCCACGGTGATGGTGGAGGGGGTGTGTGTGGGGACATGGAAGTCTGGGCGTCTCTGCTTAGACTGCTGCCCCCGCGACCCGGCCACGGATGAAACAGAAGAAAATGGATGGATGAAGGGTACTACATATTTTGAATGACTGATACCTTTCTTAGTCGCAGAGTGGGGACATTTCTGAATCCATTGTTGATAAAACTGTAATATTTATGAGTTCATGCATTTATTAGAATCCGTCCTTGTGTTGCAAAATGTAATATAAACAAATTAATAATGCATCGGTTTTACATGCCGCTTTTTTGGACTCTGAAAGACGCTTCACTTGGCATTATTCATTCACTCCATACTCGGTGGTGATAAACTACAACTGTAGCTACAGCTGCCCTGGGGCACACTGACAGAAGCGAGGCAACAAGTATAGATAGACAGATACTTTATTGATCCCCGTAGGAGAAATTCATTATGTCCAGTAGCAGCAGAAACACATGCATCCATACAAACAAAACAAATACATGGATCATTCTAAAAATAGCAAACAATAGTCTAAAAATGCAACAATAAAGGAGTTTGTCAACAATAAACACAAAAATAAGCAAAACATAATATTCACTCATATTTTTTTTTTATGAGCTAATCAACCAATTTAAAAGAAGGAATCCCAATCACTTAAAAAACAAATTGACTTTTCTGTTTTATCTCAGCAACAATGCAAACTGTATATTTCACATGGCCAATTATCTCTTACACTTTTTATTTTTTATTTCTGTGCTTTTAATCTTGTTGTATTTATACTTTATGAACACTGGGGACTTTTGCAAATGTATTCCAATGTGATTTTACTGCAAATGGCAAATGAAATTAATGTGAATCTGTATAAACTCTTGACTCTATACTTTGTACCATCTCCCTCAATCTGGGACATTTAAATAAACGCTGGGTTCTTTCCTGGAATGACAGACAGACAGTACTTATGGACAATGATGATTTGAACAAGAAGCATGCTGTCATTACATTGCATTACAGTTCCTCAGCTCCAGCCACTTGGCAAATGGAGGCTCGGCTTCACCCACTGACAACTGTGATTGTCAGGAAGAAATGCCAAGAGCCGCTCCACAGATGGTGAGGGAAGGAAGGAACACGGAAGCTGGACGCTGACGACCACCTTCTCTTTTCTGCATAATCACACCCTAAATACAGGGTTTTGATCAAATGTTGTGAAGTTTCCTCAAACATGATATGGACTTTTTATTTTAGCATTCCATGGTTTTAGCACTAAAATAATATCTGTCTGTAAATGGAAAAGACACTGCAAACGGTTTCAGCTTTCTCCTTATTTTTTCAGGGATGTAAAGGATGTAACATATTTTTTGTACCAAGATTTTTAAATAACTTTTCTATGTCATTCCACTTTTATTAGCCAATTAAGTTGGTATACAATTATTTATTGACTTCATAACAGAGTGGGTGAAAAAACTAGCTCTGGCATACTAAATAGGCTACATATTCATAAATTACACAGTCCTAAATTTGAGCCAGTAAAATGATTTTGAACTCCCAGAATTACAAATTACAAAACAATCAGATACAAACCGCCAGAAGTTTAAATAAAATGTATGATTATATTTATATCTATACCATTGATTTTCATTATAGTTGTTCCATACTATTTACAAGTTTCCTGGTCAATATAAGCTATGCACTGGCACGATAGAAAAGTGGGAAGTTATATTTGTTGCTATGACATAATAGTGTAATAAAATCTAGCCTTGGCCCCTCAGTAAGTTAATTCTGGGGCCCCTGGGGAGTCAAGCCATGCCACTACCTAAACATGTGAGAAAGGTATACGGTATATAAGGGTTTGTTACATTGTACAGAAGCTAACCTACTAACTCACAGGCCCCTCAGTGAATCGGTGAGTTAATAGTACCCTGTAGTATTGACTCTCCGGCCCCTCTGTGAGTTAATACTGGGGCCCCTGGAGACTCTTTCCCCGCTCTTGCCACGGCACTGTCTAAATGTGTAAGCAGTGTGCATAAGGGTCTGTTGCATTGTGCAGAAGCTTCCTCAGTATTGTGAGGTCTCTGCGGGGAGCTGCTTGTCGTGCGTTTGCCAGGAGCATCATTCCACCCACGGCAGGACGGGCTGGCAGCTCCGTCATTGGAAGAGTCTGGAAAGAGAAGGCACGCTGCCATTCATGCTTTCATGTGCACCGAGAACAGGAAAGCTCTGCCGAACACATAGCCCAGTCTCTGTTCAATATATCTCCTGTTAAACCATGGTTGCTCCATTTGAACTGATGATCAAAGAACTACCTCCTTTGAAACTTAATGAATTGTGTTGTGAGAAGTACTGCCTTATATATGCTTTGTGTGTTTGTGTGCGTGTGATATCTAGTTTGTAGTTGTGAAGTAGTCAATGTCAGGCATTTTGTGAGTTTGGGGTAGGGTCCTGGTCATAACATTTTTGATATGACTGACTATAAGTGAGATAGAGCTGTCTTTAATGTATAGACCGCAAGATGAAATTGTCAGTATCCTATTACATGAATCTGTTTTTGCATATGAATTTGTTGTTTGATATTACTTTTGTACAGTTTCAGGATCTTCTATGTTGCACACAAGTTGCATTGAACTCTAATGTCCCCCCCTCAAATTATATACACATAGTAAGAATAATCCCACTGTTTCCATGGCTTGATTTATTCTATTCTATGAAACACATTACTTGAATTCAAATTATGTAATTCAAATTTTAAAATACAAATGCACACAAGACATTTGATTAGATTAGATTATCGAGTTAAGAAGACGAGTTGCTGATTTTAATATTTACAGTCTATGTTTATAACCAGTGACAGGTTGCAAACCTTCGTTTTCCTAAAGAAGCAGTTTCTTTTTACAGGCAGCAGACAGACGAGGTCGCCCAGAGTCCGAGGTGACGCTGCGCCTAAACTAAGAGCTGTCATGATATAAAACCACAAGTCACTGAACATGATGAGTGACGACCATTAAGAGATGAAGAGCATATCATTTTGCGAGTTACTGTAAGTATAGCCAACAGTAATCACACGTTTTCAAAGTATTCTCCCCATCACTGCCGCTGCGTAACTTCCCCGAGCGTGCGTAAAAGCCATGTTGCGTCGGAAAAACAACAAATATGCAAACTACCTGCTGAAGTATACGGGCTAAACACGCTGTTTGACTTTCCCCCGTGCTTGGGACATTCGTGCCGTGCTGTTTTCCGCCTGTTTGACACACTTGTCCAGAGCAGACACCTCCTACTACCTGCTCTGCTGTGCTGCGCTCGCATCACTCTCCCCTCAGACACCAAGATGGCGGCCGCCTCATCTATCCAGCAGCCGCCCCACGCTCTCTCCGCTGCTACCCGGGAGAGCGCACCCCTTACCCCGGTCATGGACAGTCCCGAGAGGCCGCGGAAAGACAATGACGAAGAGCCCGCAGTGCAGTCCTCGGAACCCGGGCCGAGTTTACGCCAACTCGCCGAGCTGGAACCAGAGGAGATCGAGAGGAGACTTGCCAAGACGCGCCAGGAGCTGAGCAACAGGAGGAAAATATTGATGAAGAACCTGCCACCGGACACAACCAACCAGGTAATTTTCACTTCTTACTTTTCACTTTTCATGAACGAGTGGTTCTGGAGACTGTGGAGAGTTCTTGGATCATAAGCACTGCGCGTTTGGGAACAGTTTAGACCCGGGCAGGTGCGCTTTTACTTTACTCGGACCGTCCAGCAGCGATTGGAGATTTCCCTCGGTAGCTGTCATGGCAATTCTATAGATGTATAGACAAAAAGTACGCTGAAATATACTACGTACTTTGTCCCGTAACCTTTTGAATGAGTTTTCAATCATTTGCTCCAATGATTTTTGAACTATCCCAAATGGACACGGTGCCAAATCTATGTGTGTGTGTGTCTGTGTGTGTGTGTGTGTGTGTGTCTGTGTGTGTGACTTTTGGTTTGAAGTTTTTGATTCTTTGGCTTTTCTGTGCGTCTTCTGGACACGTTTACCGCGTTTGTTGAAGTTGCATCGCCCGTAGAGCAGTGCGATGTGACGTGATGTGAAAGGGCTGGTGCGTGAATGATGCTGATGCTTTTGAGGAATTGAAACCTCTAGGACAGATCAGACAACTATCTGTACGGACTCGCCTGAAGTCCTGTCACATAGCGAGATTGAATTGGATTGAAGTAGAAGCACGCTTTACTATGACGTAATGTTGGTTGAGAATGTGTTGTGTTCAAACAAAAAAGGGATTGGATAAGGAAAAACGCTTATATATGTAAAACACTTAAGTCCCAGCCCTTCAGACACTCAATAGCCTACAGTAGCCTAAGCACAAATATTTTGCTCTCTTAATACATACAGTACTGGTATTTCCTGACATTGGCTTGTGAAGTTATGACACCGTTCTTTAAAATGTACATTAGAAAAGTGGCTTGCTCCAGGCTGAAGTTGAATAGAAAAAAATGATGATACTGATCCCAATCTCAATTATAAATGTGATTAATTGTATTACTATTATTAATGCCATTCAACAATGTTATTTTCTGTTTGATTCAGCTCCTGTTATTTAAGCGCCATGCATCAATATCTGCATACATCCCTTATTATAAGTTCACTTTACATACTGGTTTGAAGATACTGTTTCTGGACTTGTGCACACTTGGTCTGGTTCACTTTAACTGGACAAAGTTTTGTTCACTTGAGGGAAAAAAAATGCGTCACACAGATCTGTTACAAAATAGGTAAAGTGACTACTGGACATGTGTTCAAGTGTTTTGTGGTTTTACATCCACAAATAAAGTTTATCTTATCTTATTTCTTCCCAATGTGAACCCGTATTGATCTAGTTAACACACTCTCAGTCTTTTTACCATATTTGGAATTGTTGCCTGTTGTTATAATACTAACATTTTTATGCAATATATTTTTTTCTGGTATAGGACAATATCAGGTTGTGGGCACTATGTAAAAAAAATAATACGGGTTTCCTATTCTTGGGTTTCATTAAACTGGCCTGTAGGGGGCGAATGAGCAGAGGTGGGACACTCTTTTGCCCCCCCATTGAAAACCATGTAAATCGTGTCTGTCTTGGAGTGAAAAGGCTCTCATCCTGTGAGGTGTACGGTTGCTGTAACAGTCTTAATCGGGAGGGAGACACTCAATTCTAAGGGAGTACTAACAAATATTTCTTCAAAAAGTCTTGATTTCGGGCATTTTTGAAAAAGAAAAAAAAAACAGAAGAAATTACTGCGTTTCATTCGGGTGGCCTGCAGGGGGCGCTTTTCTGGGAAAGCCTTGATCCACCTCGCCGGCCTAATTCGAGTGATTTTTTTCAAAGTGTACTCCTTTATATGAGACCACAGTTGGAACACGGAAGAAACTCTTGTCTTTCTCTCTATTTGCGCGGTTGCTACAAGCGTACGGTACACCGCACAAAAAGATTTGAATTTGACAGCGCTTCTTCTTCTACTATATCTCTGTGTATAAACCTGGCAGACTGCACTGCCAGGATACGTCACGTCCTGTCCTAAGTTTTTTTTTTGCGCCACTGCCCTGACGTCATATGATACCCCAGAAATCTTTAATCACAAATTCTAATTGAAAAAAGTTCTAAAGCACAAGTGTCTATCTATGTCTCGTGTGTTCATTCTGCCATGTGAACCTAAACGGGAATGACTTCATTGTTTTTCCATTAAGAAGTATTTAATCCTTCCTCGTTAGTGCCATTCATCACTGGTGTCAGCTGTAAGCCTTTCTGAAGCTCTGTGTGGGGAACTCTACCGGCTCCTTCAGGCGGGTCGCAGCAGCACCACAGGCTCTCAGTCCAAGGCAGACTGCCAAGACGGTCTGCATAGCTCTGGTGGGTTATGTGAGAAGCATAGACTATGACTGTGTAGTGTGTGAGAGAGACTTAGGGCAGAATACGATCAAAGTCATTGGAATCAGAAGGGAACAAAACAAACATGGGACATTTGCTCCTGGGGATTTTCAGGCTGTGATTCAAGCAGTAGCCCAGAGCAGTTCAGAGGAAAATCAGAGCTCTGAAAAAAAGGCCCGTTTCATTTAAAGCACTTGTCTTGTATCTGTGTGCGATTGTGGGAATGCAGTATTTACAATTCATGGCCGCATTCGAAGGCTCCAAGAATAGACTGTAAAGAAGGTATTTACACGACCCTAAATTCAGCCCTGAATATGGTTTTGTTACGTTTTTGAAATTAATGTAAAATTTAGACTAATTTTAACGCAACTATACGCAACTATTTTGCAAGACGTGCTACAACTGCTACTTTTCCAGTTCTGCTTTTAATGAGCATATCTTTATTTGTTGGCAAATTTGGTCCAATTCTGTTTAAAGAACACATTTGACCTTCACTTTTTTTCAATGTAGAAAAGATCTTGTGGCACATGCATGTGAAAACCTGATCCTGGCAGACCTCAGGAGCTAATACAATTACAATACAATACAATACAATACAATACAATACAATGCAATACAATTTATTCTTGTATAGCCCTAGGTCACAACAGAAGTCATCTCAGAGGACTTAACAAAACCATTGAAATCACCAACACAGGTCAGAGAATCAACAGTTAAAACACATGAAAAATATAAAGCACACACAGAAGAAAATGTCCATACATGTTGTAGAATGCTAAAGTGTCCTGATCATCACCAATCCTTTCTGTTGGACACTAACTGTCCAACAAGACCCTCCTGCATCGACAAGGAAAAACTCTTAAAAAACCCAGTGGGAAAAAGTGAGAAACCTTGGGGAGAACTAGGGAAACCCACAGGGAGGGAGACCCATCTGACAAAGGGATCCGCTCCTCCGGACGGACAGGCTAATGATCTAGGACCTAAGCTAGCTACAGAACGTGGACCAGTGGCCGCTGAACGTGGACAGGTCCGGTGCAGGACTGAAGCACTCCCAGGCGGGTCGGGCGGGGCAGTCCGCAGGTGTAGATGCAAGCAAGGTAAGGCCTGCATACTAGTACTGGGATGAGAGACCTCTGGGAAAACCAGATGCCACAGTGACTGCATAGTAGTACGAGTGTGATGTTTGAATGTTTAGTGGTGCTCAGACGGGATTGTGGCATACTGGTTGCCTTGCTTCTGTCAGTCTGCCCCAGGTCAGCTGTGGCTACAATAGAGGCTTATCTCCACAGTGTGTGAATCAATGCCTATTGAAGCACATTTTGCGTGTCCAAAAATTGCAACATAAATTGCCACATTATTTTTTCTGTTATGTGGTTTTATCTGTGTGTTGTAAATAAAGTAGAAATTTGTCCTATAGTAAAAAAATAATATTTTTTTCCCAATATTCATGAATAGCATATGCCAATCGTTATTTCTTCTGACTTGTGACGCTTCTGATTGCATTTCAACTTCTTTTGGCTTGGTAATTGTATTTTTTTGTTTCTCAGGCTAGAAAACTGTCCAATGTGACCTGTGGAACCTGACTTATGATCCCAATATTCTGGCTTTTATTGAGCCGGCAGATAAACTGTAGATCAGACATCAGACGGCTGCCTGAAATGTCCTTTTTCCAGCTGACACAGAGTGTTTGTGCTTTCCCATCCTGGTCTTTTCAATAACATTCTCAGGCAGTCGTTGTATGCCACATTGAGTTTATGTATAGAAGCATTTTTGTATTTTGTCCATAGGTGTGCTGTATATATATATAGGTGTACAGTACGCTTTAAAAAGTGTCTTTTATTCCTCCACTGTACTAGCACCAAACCTGGCAACGAGCATGTTCGCCTGAGAATACATCACAATTGTTACCCCAATCTACTTTTTTATTAAAAAGTTTACCATTTTACTCCTTGGCTTTCTTCCCTATGAGCCAAAGCAGAATATCAATATTGCCAGTGACTTCTGACACAGCTCCTTTAATTCACAATAAAAATGGTTGAGAAAGAAAGCAGAAAACCTGGTGTGCTGCCAGTGCACAGTACACTAGTGAGAGTGCAAGTAAGTAGAGAAGGTAAGATAAATGTGTGAATAAAATGACGATTATAACGATATGAGATATATTTACACATCTTCTCAATGGTTCAGAGCGTTTCAACACGATTTGTTGGTAATTATGATGGTTTTCAGTGGAGAGGCGCTACCGAGCTACAGTATAAATAATGCCTCAATATTTCTTAAAATGTTGGTTAATGAGGAGAAGTATGTAATGTTGGTGACTTTGGTGACTTTGAGGCATCTGCAAGTGGAAAATGGAGATCCATGGTTTGCGATCATTTTGATCATATTCAACCGTTTCTCATTAAATTATTTGTATTCTTCTAAAGCTGGTGAGACACATAAGAAACCGATTAAAACTGACAACCGTTAAAAAACTGATGTTTTTGAGTAAATACCTGTAAGTAAGTAAGTAAGTAAGTTTTTATTTATATACCGCCTTTTCACTGCAGATCTGAGTCTCAAAGCGGTTTACAATTGTTAATTTTGGGCATTTGTCTCTCACTCCACACAGAGATGGGAGCGGGGTCGCCAGTACAGGAGGCACATGCCAGAACTATTGGACATATTTTTAGTGGTAGGGGAAACCAGAGTACCTGGAGGAAACCTACGCAGA